GAGCGGCTGGGAGCCTGGGGGAGAGGCGGACTCAGGGAGTGAAGAAGGGTCTCTGCACAGGGGTGTGGCTGGCTGCAGGGCGGAAGGGAAAGAGGCCTCTTTGTTTATGCTGGGTGTGGAGCTTGTGGCTGGTGGGGACGGTTCTGCCAAGAAGAGGTGACAGGTGTGGTTAAGGTAGGGAGACAGGGAAGGGCTCCAGGGCACACAGGGACGGTGGTCCCTGAGCATGGGGTGGCGGATTTTGTGATGGGGCGGTGGAAGCTCTTCCAAGCCGGGCTGGGCTGTGGCCATGCGGCAGGAACCATGCTGTCTGCGGGGAGGGGCGCGGGGAGGTGCCGAGCACTGCAGAGAGCATGTATGTGAGCACCCGAGGACGGCCGGCTGCGGGCGGGGGCAGGACTCCTGGGAGCACCAGGCCCCAGGGGCTGGGAGGTCGAGACTTCAAAGTGGCCCAGTCCACGGGGCGGTGTGGCCTCTCCGGCCCTCGAGGTCGTCGGAAGCCAGGAGGGGTGGACGGGGAGGGAGGGGCGTGTCCAGGAGGAGGAGGAGGGTGGGCAAGGCGGCGGGTGAGAACTCGGGACTCCAGGGCCGCGGAGGAGAGTGAAGGGAGAACCCCGGAGAGGGGTCTCGGCGCTGCTGGCTCTGGGTGGACGTCTGCAAGGGCACGCGTGACTCCCGTGGGCATCGCACGTGCTGCTCAGCTCCTAGGACTGAGGGAGAGGACACGCATGAACTCAGCACACGCCCCACACGCAGCCGCCCTGATGATTCCACACGACCCGGGTGGTCCGAGCAGTGCGGGGTCTCCCACTGTGCCCCGGAGTGGCGCCGGCCACGTTTCCCTCCTTGCCAGCGTCCAAACAGGAGCAGCCGGCCCTGGGCGCCCGTCCACGGAGGAGATGAGCCAAGGCAGCCTTGAGTCCTAGGGATGAGTCCACCCCCTGTGGCCCAGGGCCGGCGTCCCCGTGGCCGGGGGCTCTCAGGGCTCTCGGGCAGCTCGGCGGGACCTGCGGAGGGTGAAGCCTGAAGGTGCAGAGCACAGGGGGCCGCTGGTGTGGGTTTCAGGCCCCATTTGGTAGGCAACTCGCAGGGAGGAGGGGAGAGTCAGTGCTGTTGCCTTGGCAACGCTCTGTCACATTATTATGAGGCTCAGCAGTAGAAGCAGCCTTGCCTTAAAGGAGCACAAAGCTTATCGATTTGCTGGTGTCCCGAGGCGACTCAGCGGGAGAGGGCTGCTTCCCTGGCACTTGCTGGGCATCAGGAAGGCAGCGGGAGAGGGGCTGGCGGGTGGGGGTGCCACGGCGCTGGGACCTGCTGTGCCCAAGAGCCCAAGAGCCACGCTGGGCCCCTCAGCTTGGTGCCCGCTGGGCCTCATCCCGGGACAGCTTGGGGTCACCGGCTGGCGTGGACTGGCCGGAGCCCTGGGCCCCGGCCCCACGCACACCTCTACGTGGAGCCCCTGCCCCGGGCGCGGACGGGCAGGCCTGGGCGTGAGCACAGGGACGGGCACCTAAGTCGGTCAGAGCGAGGTGTGAGGGCTGCGGGAACGGGCGTGGACATCATTAACTCTGGCGGCGTAAAAATAACACCGGCGAGACAGACTCAGAAGGGACAGAGGAGGTCGGGGGAGAGGAACGGAAAACGCTCCAGCCTTTCTTTCAACACGTGACGTGGCTGACTGGTAAAAATGGGGCCGTGGGATAGAAGCGCGGTTCAGGGCATCACAGACCTTCCGCTCCCAGCCTCAGCGGGTCCTTCTAGGAAGCAGGATCTTGTGCGGCGAAGACGAAGGAGCCTCCAGTCAGCGCCTCAGGTTTACTCTGGTTTCCCTGCCTTCTTCAAAGTCAAGTAATATTCTAAGTTGGGAAGATCGGATAGGGAGCCTCATCGTCCACACCAGCGCTCGCTCCTCTTGTCCTCGTTTGTGTCCAGCCTCGGCCACGCCAGGCACCGTTCCGGGCACTTTGCACGCTGTAGCTCCCCACCTCTACCCAGCAGGGCTCCAGCACCAACCCCCGGGGGGTAAGTGGGGTGCGGAGAGGTGACTCGCCCACGAGGGTCACGGCAGGCCCTGAGAGGCAGGGTATAGGCGGGGACCCAGACACCAGGTTTCAGAGGCTACTGTCACCATCACCTCCTCTGACCCCACGCACAGAAGAACGTCTGCACCGTAACCACCCCGTGCCCGCAGTGCTTACTCCGTTTTCAGTTCTTGTTTATATTCTATTTTTTAAAAGCAATGCAATAATGAGCCTGTGTGATTTTTAAAGAGCAGCTTTATTAACATACAATTCACATATCATGCAATTCACCCACTTAAAGTATACAGTTCAATAGTTTTTGGTATATTACATTATTTATTTTTTAAATTGTGGCTATACCTACGTGTGTATATATATATATATATATATATATATATAACAAAGTTTTCCATTTTAAGTGCACAATTTAGTGGCATTAATTACAGTCACCACATTGTGCAACCATCACCACTATCTATTTCCAAAACTGTTTTCATCACTCCCAACAGAAACACGGACCCATGAACTAATCGTGCCCCGGTCTCCCTCCCGTAAGCCCCCAGCCTCTAATCTGCTTTCTGTCTCTGACAGTTTGACTCTAGGCCCCCCATGTGTGTGAAATTACACAGCGTTTGTCCTTTGGCAGCTGCCGTATCTCACTTAGCATAATGTCTACAAGGTTCATCCGTGCTGTAGCGTGCATGGGTCAGACGTGGTTAGTGGCAGTTGGATGGTGGACCGTTTGGTTTGGTGGTTAGTGGCAGTTGGATGGTGGACCGCATTTGTCCATCCACGTCTTGATGGACACTCGGCCGTTCCCACATCCGCTCTCATGAGTGGTGCCGCCGTGAACAGGGGTGTGCAAATATCTGTCCCCGTCCCTGCTCTCAGTTCCCCTGGGTATCTACCCAGAAGTGGAATTTCTGGGTCATGTGGTTGTATAATTTGAAAAATAAAAGAATTCTTGAAATGCGGTCAGTGTGACTGAAAGAAAAAAGTAAATAAAAAAAAAAAAAACCTAAAAACGACTCTTGCTAAAATCGGATCCTAGAGCTCAGCCCACCTGAGGCAGTCAGCGCAGCCCTGCTTCCCCGCGGGGAGGGACAAAACCGCAAGGACCGGGGCTCGCACGCCCGCTCCCTGGGAGGTCCACGTGTGTCCCTGTTTCCTCTTCTGGACACGGTGGATGCTGGCAGCCGCCTCAGAGCGGGAGCGTGAGGGCCGGAGGAGAGGCGTGGGGCGCCTGCTGTGCCGAATGTGGTCAGTGCATCCCAGAACCTTCCCCGGAGACCTCTGAGTTTGCAAACTATTTGAACTATTCCTGCACTGGATCTTCTCAACAGCCCGTGAGACACGGATTACCTGCACCCTTCATCCCCATTCTAAAGATGTGGAAACTGAGGCTCAGAGAGTCTTTCTCTGGGAGAGCCAGGACAAGACACCAGCCCCTGCAGTGTCAAATAGCGTCCTCTCCAGCCCCTGCCGCCCCTCTCAGTGACCACGGTGAGGCCGAGAGGCCGAGGGGCTCACAAACAGCTTTCCTCCCTTCTGCGACAGTAAGAACACTCGGGGTAACAAAGAAAGGGCGACTGGGTGGAGAGAAAAAGAACTCCCCGCAGCCCCACCCTTTGTTTCTCCCAGCACCATCTCGTCTCAGACCCCCAGGGGCCATCCACCTGCCAGGAGCTCCCTGGGCTTAACCCCCCCAGGGTGGGAAGCCCACCCTCGCTTCCCCTGGTTGCAGCTCTGCTCTTGGGGCTCAGAGGACAGAGTCACAGCAGAGCCCCCCAGAGAGTGAAGGCCACGACACCCCCATACCACCTTCTCTTCTCAAGGTGCCTGTGCCCAGCTCCTTCACCCAGTGCCCAGAGGACACTCCCAGATGCTGGGCAGCGCGATGACAAGGGCAGGAGGTGGCAGCTAGTCCTTGCTCTGGAACTCCCAGGGCGGCCAGGGGGACCGGTTCAGCCCTGGCCCCAGCATCCTCATCTAAGAATAGGAGGGTTGGGCCACACCCCCCCTGGCAGCTCTGCCGTCTGTGACGCCGGGGTCTGGGCTCCCCTTGCCATCAGATATTTTCTTTATAGAGTTTATTTTTCAAAGACTGAACACTAAACTAAGGGGGAGCAGATAAGCGAGGCATCTAAATATGAACGCCTATGGCAACCTTATCTTCTCAGAAAACAGAGGTGTTTGGGGACACTGCCCCCCAAAATGGAGAATTTAAATGGAAATGTGCCCCCCAAGTCCAGCTCGCTTGGCCGAAGGCTTTGAGTGTGTGTGCAAGGGGGGGAGAGGGGGCGGGGCCACAGAGAGGGAAGAAGGGGGAGCCCGTCTCCACCCCAGCTGGAGGGTGGGCTCCAGGCCAGGGCCGAGGGGTGGGTATGAAGACAGGCCAGCCCCGGGGAGAGCTGGAAGCCCCCCGCCCTGGTGGGAGAGCCCCTCTCCTAGGCTCCTGGTTCCAGCAACGCACCTGGGGCAGCAGAGCCGTGTCACAACTCAATGCACAAGGACAGGGACTCTTATAGAGTGTGCACATCCCCCCCAACACAGACAGACCCCCATCTCTAGCCTGCCTGGGGGGCAGCAGGACCCCCAGCACCCAATGCCTGTCCCCTGGTCAGCATGAGCTGACCCACCAGGGCAGATGATCTGGGTTCCAGCCCTGGCTTCTGCCCCTGACCCCTGCTCCTCCAGACATCCTTCCTGACTCTGAGCCTCAGTTTACCTCCCTAACGGTGCCTTCTAAGGATCTGTTCAGCTTCATCTCCTGTAACTGCTGGAGACACGGAGACTGTCCATCCTAGACCCGCACCAGCTGTCATGCCCGCCCCCTCTCTGTGGTCCACTGGCTGTGCAGAGGCCCCGGTCCCCGCGCTGGCGCCCCCTGCCCCGGTCCCAGGGCCCAGGAGCCTGCCTGGCTCAGCCTGCCAGGATGGAGCTCTCTATCCCATTCAATTTCCCCCGCCTTTTTGATGTCACATCCTGTCCCAGCCTGCTTCCCCGCCGGCGCCGGCGCCCTCCCCCTCCCCGCGCGATCGAGGCGCGGGTCCCTCGCGCCACCCCCGCCCCCGCCCCTTCCCGAGCAAACTTTTGGCACCCACCGCAGCCGAGCGCGTTCGTGCTCCGCAGGGCGCGCCGCGCTCCGCCAATGCCAGGCGCGCGGGGGAGCCATTAGCAGGCAGGGGAGAGGAGGGCGCAGCCCGCGCCCAGCCCAGCCCTGCCCAGCCCTGCCCGGAGGCAGACGCGCCGGAACCGGGACGCGATAAATATGCAGAGCGGAGGCTTCGCGCAGCAGAGCCCGCGCGCCGCCTGCTCCGGGTGCTGAATCCGGCCGCCGCCGGGGACACGAGCCAGCGCCGCCACTGGAGCCCGCGGAGCCGGAGCCCGAGCGCGTCCGCGTCCACGCAGCCGCCGGCCGGCCAGCACCCAGGGCCCTGCGCGCCAGGTCGTTGGAGGTGGCAGCGAGACATGCAACCGGCCCGGAAGCTCCTCAGCCTCCTCTTCCTCATCCTGATGGGCACTGAACTCACTCAAGTACGTGCATCCAACGCCATTTTCCTCCCCGCCAGGCGCCCAGCCCGGCCCCAGGGGAGCCCGGCAAAGTCGGAGCCGCTCAGCGCCACCCCAGCCCCCTGCCCCAGCGGGAGCCCGGTTTGGGGAGGGGGCCAGAGTGCTTGCTGCGCCGGATGCGGGTGGGAGGTGGGTGCAGGCAGACCTGAGGCTGCTCCCTCCAGCCCTGGCCGGTGGGGCTGCACAGCTGCCCCCACTCCCTGCTAAGTTCAAAGGGCAGCCCCGGGGTCTTTGGCTGTTGTCGTCTTGGGGAAGCCTGAGAGCCAGGTAGCCAAGCCCCCAGGCATTCTCAGAGGTAGAGGGACCTAACTCCTGCCCTCCAACACACACCCCTCCCTTTGGGCATAACGCTGCCCTTGGGAGCTCCCCAGCAGTAGGGATTGCGCCTCCAAGACCTGCCTGGAAGGGCAGGCAGCGTGTGGCTGGGGTGCATTGTCGCCTTAATGTGGAGGGCGTGGGGACTGTGGCCACATGTGGCCACATGCACCGCAGGAGGTGTGAGTGACAAGTCCCGATGGCTGTGCTGGGGACCGCCGGGCTTCGTCTGAACAATGTATCAATAGAGAACGTGTCTCTGGTTGGTATTCTCCATTTTAGAAATGCATCTTAGGGCGGGCAGGTCTGGGAGGGGGGGAAGGGCTGTTTGGGGGCGCTGAACTGGGGGTGCTGCTCTGGCATCAGGGTACACGGAACAGCCTGCCAGCCCCTGGAGCCCGGCTGCTCAGGAGTGACATTAAAATGCCCTTTCGACGGTGCCACTGTGCCACGCTCTGAGCTGGGGCACTCCGGCCCCTGGGAGCTGCAAGTCCGAGTGGTGGGCAACCAGCACCTTGGCACCAAGCCCCAGTGGCACAGCTGCCCTGACCCTCCCTCCCTCCCTCCCTGCCTCCCTCTCTCAGAATAAAAGAGGAAACAAAGGAGAGAAGATGGGAGGGCCAGAGAGCAAGAGAAAGACCACGAAAGAGAACACGCTGGAACAAGCACCCCTTGTTTTGCCTGGAAGCCCTTGCCGGCTCCCTGGCTCTGCCCAGGAGTGCAGTCCAAACCCCGACCCCACAGTGGTGTTCTGTCATCCCACTCACCCTCAGAACCCCTGCTCTGTGCCGCCCAGACAGCCGGGCAGTCCCCGCTAAGGAGGTTCTGCATGGCCTCTGGGAGATAGGTTTTCTTGGCCCCAGGAAGGCCTGGCCGAGGAGTGGCGGCTGTGCCCCGTGGCCGGACAGAGGCACGTATGCTTGTGTGCACACGCAGATGGGCACGGGCCTGCAGCAGGGAGCCAGGCGGGTCCCTAGGGGTGGCACGCTGCCCTGCAAAGGGCTATGCCTGTGTCTCATGGAGACGTCTTGGCACAGAGATGGCCGGTTCTGGGTGGCCCTGGAAGTGGCTGCCCCCGAGGGCTCTCTACTGGCTTCTTCCTTCCAGGTACCCCTAAGCCTCCGTTCCCAGACCACAAGCTGCTTTTCCTCCATAAGTTCTCTTCCTGTCTTTTTAAAGAGCCCCTGTTCTGGGGAGAAACTTTTGGTTCTACTTCAGCTAGGAGCTTTGTCTCAGTGGTGAAAATGTTTGCCCGTCGTGCTGAAGGTGCTGGACATCCGAGCCTCAGCCGGCCCTGCGTGCACCTGGGCACGCCTGCGCACACCTGCGCCCTCAGGCTCCGGAGTCAGGGCCAGTGGGATGCCTTCAGGACCCTGGCCAGCTCCCGGGCCCGCACCCTCCTCTGGGGCAGGCAGGGAAGTGACGTTATTTTCTTTGTTTGCCTGAAAGGTGCCTCTCTGAGGCTGAGCCTCAAGATTTCTCTGGGGGCTTGTGTTCCTCAGCTCTGCCAGGGGACACCTCCCATCCCTGCCTCGTGGCTCTACCCTCCCTGGGCCAGCCCCTGAAAACTATGCTTTCAGAATTTTGTGTTGGAGGCCGTTTATCTCCAATTGTGGTGGAATATTGGAGCAGACTCTCACTAGTTAAAATCCTTTCGGGCTTTCTGACTCTATGAAGGGGTCAGAGGGTGGCCGGCTTGGCGACCAGCTCCTGAGGACCCGGCTACCCTGGTCTACCTGTGTGGGCCCCACTGGAGCTGAGCCAGGTGGCTGTCTCCTTTAGCCGGGAATTTGGACCTCTAAATGTGGAGCGTGGGATCGGGAGCAGGCGTGGGTGCAGGACTGGGCTGCTCTGCATCTGAAGCTGTTCCGGGATGTCCACACCCAAGAATCTTGCTTTCTTTATCCCAGAGCGATTCCTCGCCGGGTGCCTTGAGCAATGTGCTCGTGTTTGTGAATGAACGGACAAACAGTCCTGGGCTGCAGGAAGGGGGATTGAGCTGTCTGGTGTCTGTCTCCCATAGCCACTGTAGGTGAATTGCTCCCCACGGCAACAAACACTCTTGCTTAGGCCCCCAAAGGACGTGGTCCGGGACCACTGTTTCTAGATTAGGCTGCATCAGATCGGGAACAAGTTGGAAACGTGTGGATTTTACCTGCACCCGATAAATGCTGCTTGCAGGATTCAGGCAGACAGGCGGGGGGAGTGGAGCACATGGCAGGGCCGTCTGTTCTCCTGACAGCTTGCTCACGATGAAATGCTCAGTCCAGTGCCAGCCGTTGATTGATGGCCTACCACGTGCAAGGCTGTGGGGCCAGATGAACTTTTTCCCCAGCCAGAAAGACATTTTACCTGGCCTTGCTCTGTGATCTTCAGTAAGACGCTGGCACTTGATGCCTTTGGAGAAGCAGGGTGAGGAGGCATATATCAAACCTTCTGATTAGGGAGCTGAGGGGTCGCTCTCTCGGCCCTGGAGGGCTGGGGCAGGGCAGGGGCTCCAGCCCACCTCAGCCTCCCCTTCAGAGACAATCTTGTGCCTTGCATGCAATGGTGTGAAAGGGGCTCGGAAGCTCTGTAGCAACGACCTTGAACCCAGTTGTCTTACTCTTAACCCTGATCCCACCAGGCACTGGCTGGGTGACTTTGAGAAAGGCGCTTGACCTCTCTGAGCCCGAGCTTCCCTCTCTGTGAAGCAAGGAGGGTTAAAGTAGACAATTCCCTAAGCTGTCTCCCTACCGCAAACCCCCAATCCCTTCCCTTCATTTGCTCACTTCTCCGCTCCTCGAACAAGCCTTGCTTGGCTACCAACTGGTTGGATTTAGCTCAGTCAAATCTGGGCTTACAGTGCGGGATGGGGGCCAGACCCTTGCGGTCGGGCGTCTGGGGCGAGCGTGCTTTGCGGGAAGGCCCGGGGCTCTGCCGTGGTCGTCTGTTTCTGTGGTGCAAGAGCTGCGTGCACCACGCGCTCTGGACGGGAGTACGGGAGTGAGTTCCGTCTCGGGGCTGGAGGAGGCCTTGCGGAAGGGGCGATGCTGGAGCTGGGGCCGAGCTTGCATCTTGGTGAGCTAGTGGGCCCGGGGAAAGAGGACGGAAGTGGGGGCTGCATGCAGGCTGCATACAGGAAGCAGGGCTGGAAACACGTGTTTGTCGAGGGTGCCTGATTCATGGTAAGACTGAGGTGGAGCTCTTCCCACCAGTGGCTCACACCCCAGGCTGGGCACGGCCTGCCTTAAGCATGTGACGCCCTGGGTGCCCCCGGTGGGGGCTCAAGCTGTAAATGAGCACAGAATGGCCTTGAGTGCCAACCGATTCTGAGGTTGCCATTTGCCTTCGGGCTTTATTGAGTGACTGCTGTATGCTTGCTCCCAGAGTTGGGTGAGCTGCTTGCCGTGTAGGCGCCTTTTCGGAGACACGGACTAGCCCTGGACCGTGTTTGGGGAGGCGTGCGCTGGTGCTGGGTGTGGACAGGGCTTGTGGAGGGGACAGGAGAGGTGACACTGATGGAGCCTCTCAGGGCGTCTGTGGGGCCCGTCACTCCCAGTCTGTTCTCCCATCCTCATCCTCGTTTGCTCGTTCTAGAGCAGACGACCCAAGTGTACTCCCCTGGACAGACTGGATGGGAAAAAAAACAGCTGAATGTTGAGACGTGCTGCAGCCTGGGCTTGGGCCGGGCGGTCCCACTGACCTGCCCTGTCTACCTGCAAGCCCACCTGCCCCAGTTCTGGGGCCCACGTTCTGCCTCGGACGTGCTGGAGGGACAGAGCATGTGCAGAAGGGGGTGGCGGTCCTTTCCTAGCGATTTCAGTGTGCATGGGGACTGTACCCAGTGTTTGCATTGAAGCTGGCCACTGCCTCTGCGGCCAGTGACACCTCTGGGCACACAAAGGCTGTTCCTGGGGAAAGGAGGGCCGTGCTCCCTGGGCCCGCCTCGCTGGCGGGAGGCTCCGAAACACGGGGATTTACTCGCTGTAAATGCTGCGCAGGAGGCAGCTGCTTCATCTCCTGGAGCAATTTGCTTCTCATCCCTCTGACTTCCACCTTCCCCAATCAAAAGAAGGTAATTTTCTGCCTCGAGTCATATTTATTACTAAAGTTATCAGCCCTGTAATCAGTATTAACATCACCGTGCAAAGTGATACAAAACTAATTACTAGCTGAACTGAATTAGATACATGGCGACTGTGAGCCCGGCTGACGGGGACAGCGGCCAGTTTTCCGCCCTGAAGGATGGGCCACCGGAGCTGCCCACACTCAGAAACCAGCGCCGTGGGGCCACTGCCACGGGCAGAGCCACCGGCAGCCATCAGCGCTGCCCCGGCTGGCATCGTGGTAGGGCCGGGGTGAGGGGAGGAAAAAACAGCAAAAATGAGCATCTCTTTCATTTTTCAGATGGTCACACATGGAAAACCTGCCTGGGGTTAAGGCCCTAGGAGTGTCACCAGTAACGAGGGCTGATATTCTTTGAGTGTTGCTGTGTGTCAAACTCCATGCCAGGACCCTAATCTTTACCTAATAGTCCCACAGCCCAGGGCCCCGTCCTCGCTCTTGCCACAAGACACTGAGCCTTGGGAGGCGACACCACCTGCCCAGTGACCCAGCAGATTAGTGATGACCCCAGGTGCAGTTCCAGGTCTGCCTGATACCCGGGGAACCTGAGTTCAGGTGCTTGTTAAGACAGAGAGAAAATAAAAAGTGCAGAAAACAGCTCAGTGTCGCTGAGCACCAGTAAAGCAAGCGGAAGGGCCCGGCGCGGCCGTGCCAGTTGCCGAGTCTGCAGAGGTTCCTGGAGAGCCACTCAGCCGTGTTCGTCCAAGTGTGGCCAAATGCTCGGCCGCCGCTGCTGCCCGGGCGGTTGGCTTTCAGAGGGGCGGCGCGGGGCAGGAAGGAAGGGGAGCTGGATGGGCGTCAGGCTGCAGTTCCCTCCACCACCACGGATCAGTGAAGCTGGCAGGTCCCTGCACCCCTCGGAGACGGAGGGGCGTCTGCGGGTGCCTAGGCTGGGGCTCCTCACCTTGCTTCTCCCCCAAGTAACGCGAGGGGTTATGCAGGGAGAGTCCCGGCATTTGCTCGGTGACTTGAGATCCAAGAAGAAACATGATGTATACACTGAGCTGAGGTAGCCTCTCGCTAACTCTCTAAATGCCTGTGGCTCTAGCGACATCCTTTGTTGCACTTGGCACGTTTTGCACAGTGCCAGGGAAGACCGCGTGGCCAACGTGAGGAGCATGTGCTGCGGACATGTGCGCTCCGCCCTCGTTCCTGGCTGCTCCTTGGGGGAGGGTTTCTCTTCCCTCTTCTGCGGAGGTTAAAGCTCATGGCCGCTGCCTGCGTAACAGCAGCCGATGTGGCTTCTTTGGCCTCTAATAGTGTTTAAGAGACGTGGGCGCACCCACGAGCTCGTTCCACAGAGACGCCCAGCAATAGGAATTTGGTCTGCATGTTCCTTATTGCGGTTCAGTGATGTTTAGAATCTGCTCAGAGAGCGAGTAAGTACTCAGAGTCGAGACCGAGGGGTCCAGGGGAGAGATGCCAGCCCCAGTGCGGTCAGCAGGTTGACGGTGCCCGCCTGGATGGTCACTAAAGCAACCCTGGTCCATCCCATAGTTTTAGCAGGGATGCAAGTTGCTCTCAGGGGTTTAAAACCCCCGGCGGAGATGTCCCTGTCCACAGAATGGCTCTCAGGGGTGGTTCCGGAAGGTGCTTTAGGTGATGCTTTGAGCATCTGAGGGTCAAAGAGAGAACGCAGGTGTGTTGCCAACAGTTTTACTCGGTGCACCCCAGGGGGTCGTATTCAGACAGCACAGCAGGACTCAGAGAAGTGGGGAGCCGGCCACTTGTCAACAATTCTGCTTTCAGGAATGTGAGTCCCTGTGCCCTGCCTCCCCAACACACACATGAACACACATGCACATGCACACACACACACATGCACATGCACACACGCATGCACGCACACGAGCTCCCGTTCCTGGGGCCTCCCGGCCTCAGCATCCCGCCCCACGGATTCGCAGGCTAAGCCCGTGTGCGAGGCAGCAGGGCAGAGGGCGGGATGGAGCCGGGGTCTCATGTTCCATGAGCAACACCAAGGGTCACAAAACAGGAGCCTCCTCCAGAGACAGCGCCAGTGCTTGTTAGCGGTTGCTAAGGGCGTCTCTGAGCTGAGTCCCAGCTGGGCGGAGGGCGGGTGTGTGCGGAGAGCCCCACGTGTGGAGGCCGAGCGTCCTCCATGCAGGTAACTTAGTCTCCGGAATCCAGCTCAACGCACACGCTGTGTCCCCTGCTACATACGCAGCCGGATGCCGGGGCCCACCGCAGGTGCTTGTATAGTGGTGCCATCTTTTCATTCATGCTGGGACCAGTTGCTTGTTCCACGGAAGCCGGACTGTCCTTTTCAGTTGGCTGTGACGAGTCCCCTCCCCTGGACGGCAGGAAACGGGATGGGGCCCCTGAAAACCATGAGTTCAGTCCAGAGGGGGACGTGTCTGCCGAGTTGTCTTGTTCCCGTTCCATTCCCAGAACTGGATCCGATTTCTACTGGGCAACGAAGAGAACACGGAGCTGTGGCAGCCACGGTCTGGCCGAGAGCCAGTCTGAGGCAGCCCCCGTGGGAGCTGCGTGGAACTTGCCAGAAGAGGGAGCGGAGGGGGTGTGCAGCGCCCAGGGTGGGCAGGGCCATGGGCAGTCAGCTCCCTGGACGGACAGAGCAGTGGGACTGGCAGCCAGAAAGAGGCAGATTGTGCCTGGGTGGGAAACACTGTCCCCGGTGACAGCGTGGGCAGCAGGGTGCTCTCCCTAGGCGAAGTGGCTCCAGGTCGAGGGGGCCTTGCATAGAAGGACCAGCCCTCCAGGACTTCCCTGGAGGAAGCCAGGTGTCCTGGGCTAGCCAGCCCTGGCCAGGAGCCACCCAGGACGAAGCCCTCTCTCAGGAAGGGAGTGAGGAGCAATGATGCCCTCCCCAGTTTGTGCGCCCAGCGGCCACGGAGGAGGCACAGTGATGGGGACATTCAGCACTGACTGCCCAGGGCAGTCTTCCGTGGCAGCTGGGAGAGGGTGCTTGGGGACCTGTGGCTCCCACAGGCTGCCCTCCTCAAGGCCAGGTCCTTTCCCTGCTCTGGGAATGAAAGAGGCACATCAGGGTGGCGGAGCAGGGGGCCACGTGGGAGCGCTGTCTCTCTCTCCTCCTCCCCGACTCTTTCTCTCTTTCTCCTTCTCTCTCCTCTGTCTCTCTCCTTGCCCCCTCCAGCTATTTGCAAATAGCTGGAGGGCGATGTGTATATTTTTAAACAGCAAAGGGGCATTAAAACTTTGTCCTTTGGGATGTTCCCTTGCCAGGGAGCACCAGGCGGTTCCCCAGAGACCCGCTTCTCTCCAAGCGCCACTCCTGGCTTGGGCCCCTGTGGCCTCGAGGCTCTGACCGTGAGGTGGCGGCAGCTAGATGCACCTCCCGGCTCCAGGCGTGGCTGTTGTGGGGCTTCCCGAGGTGGCTCTCTAACACGCCGTGCGTGTCTGTGTCTTGTGAGGACGGCAGAATTTTAGGCAGGAGCATCCCTCAGGGTTACATAACATCAGCCCTCATCTGCAGAGCTGTGCACACCAGGGCCGTGGAGGTTGGCATTCTTGGTTTTACATGTGCTGATGGATTTGTGCAAAGCCTGTCAAGGTCGGGGCCTGCGAGGGGCCTGGTGTGAGGACAGAGACCAGGCCCGTCTTACCTGGCATGGCAGGTGACCTGGCACTGCAGGCTGCACAGGACCTGCATAGGGTGACATCCCACAGACTGGGTGGGCAAGGGCCCAGGAATGCTCCGGCAGAAATGTCTTCCGGTGGGCCTCTGCGGGCCAGAGAATGGTGCAGGTGGCCAGGGCTTCCGTGGCCTTGCTGATCGTGCCACTTCTGGGACTGGATGGTGGCCACCACGTCTGAGAGACGGGGTGCTGCCATGTTGTGGGCTTGGCTCTGGAAGCTCTCACCATTTGACCTTGGGCAGACCTTGTTACCTTTGGCTCTGGGAGCTCTCACCATTTGACCTTGGACAGACCTTGTTACCTTTCCACGCCTGACAGACCTCATCTGTAAAGTGGCGTGGATGGCAGCACCGCCCCTGGGCTGCGGTGAGGATTAGGCGACATCATGCATGGCTAATCCCCAGTGTGGTCTGGGGCACGGTGCCGGCTCCGTCAGTGCTATTATGATTATTCAGAGCGGCAAGTATAAATGCGCCTTAGCTTCAAGAGAAGTCGTGGAAATCGGGATTTAAATTCCTCTTTAGGAACTCTATGGATGTGCTGGTGCCATAGATCCTGTAATCCAAATACCTTCATTCTTCAACAATCCGTGATTTGCTTTTGGAATGTCATGCAGCCTTCCAAAGCAAATTACACTGCCCCAGCCTTCTCCGACGCCCCTCTCAGAAGCATCAAAGGCAGTAGTCACTCCCTCTGAACCACAGATTTCAGAAGCTGGATAGGACTTTGATTTGGGATTACAAAAGTTGGAAGTGACTTAACTAGAACCTCCCAGCACAGTAGAATAGCGCGGGTGCGGTTAGTACAGCACAGGCACAGCCTAGTGCAACGCAGGTGCAGGTCAGAGCAGCACAGGTGCAGGTCAGAGCATCTCAGGTGCAGGTCAGAGCATCTCAGGTGCTGTTAGTATAGCACAGGTGCAGCCTAGTACAATACAGGTGCAGGTCAGAGCAGCACAGGTGCAGGTCAGAGCATCTCAGGTGCAGGCTCGAAGCTGGAAGGCCAGTGCTGTGTCCCCCGCACGTCCGTGTTCTATTCATACATTCCATGGGTGGGGGGGTGAGAACTGTGTATCTATTCAGTTCTCTATAAGCATTAAAGATAATAATTAGGATTTAAAGGCAAGGAGGGGGGTTCATCTTTTCTTTCCATTACTCTAAAAATCCTTGACCTTAGAGGTCTTAGGAATTCCAAGGGCTGGTTCACATTTTTTTAGCAAGTTCAATGTGAGTTACCCAAAACCACATTTTTGAAAAAAAGATGCTTCTCAGCTGTGCCTTTGGGGGAACCATACACCCTGCGGCTGCCCAACAGGACGTGAACTCAGGAGAAACACGGTAGGGGGTTCAGATCTCTAGGCCACGCCTTAACTGCCTGTCCCCAAGAGAGGTGGAGAGAGTCCCTGGGCCAGTGGGATGGGAGGCGGCTCATCGGCTCATGGGTCCCTGGGCCTCACCGCCTCCAGCAGTCCGGCCGAGCGGCAGGCGGCCTCCCCGCTGCGAACTACCCGGATTCCTCTTCCTCCATTCAGAAGCCCAGCCAAGTCGGTGCTCTCCAGACTCGGAGCACCAATTCCAAGCCCTGTGCGGCATCACTGACCTAAGGGCAAATGATAAGTTCTTCAAGGTCAGGAGAGTTTTTTCTCTCTTTTTTTTTCAACTAGCAAGGCCCAGAAAGGAGAGTTTTTAAATTATTATCATTCTATTTGCCCACCTGGAACTTAACCTTCCTAGAATGTAGCTCCCAGTTGCTGTGGGTTATTTTTATATCCAACAATACCTCTTCCACATTTGCACAGCTATGCGGATAGCACCTCTTAACTGATGGCCTTTAGCCAACAGCAGATCTCGAGGGAGGCGGCAGAGGTTTCTGGGGATATCAGATCTTATTGGGAATCCAGGCTCTGTAGCAAGTCACTTAGCTGAGGTCCTTCCTGAGCCTGTTCTGTCTTCTGCAAAGCAGGTGACGATGCACATCACCCCTGTCGGGTGCCAGCCTCGTTCCTGCACCAAATCATTTAAGCCGCATAATGCCCTGGCGGGGGAAGTTACTATTATTAAACCCATTTTGCAGATGTGGGGGACTGAGGCTCAGGGAGGCTGATTAACTGGTGCAAGGGCCTCACAGGGCCGGCACCTGGAAGGCAATGTTTTAGGAGGCTTCTCTAGCAAGGGCATCTCCTCGTTAGGTCTAAGGGAGTTTGGGCTCAGGCACGGTGGGTGCCCAGCTGTGGAAAGTGCCTGGGAATGTCATTATTGTGCTGGCGTTGCTTCTGCCCTGGGATTTATAGCACACTGTACCCCACATCTTGGCAGAGCAGGTGTTTACGTTATCTGTGGCTTCTGAGCCAGCCTGAGAGTGTTGTGGATTGGGCTGGGCTGGATCTGAAGTCGTTCCAACAAGACAAGTGGTCCCTGTTTTGCTGTCGTGGGAAGTGGGTGTGAGGGCTTTGGGCAGGCCCGCGAGGCTGTGGCCCGGACTCTGTGTTGAATATGCCTGGTGAGAGAAGGCAGGCGGAGACTGCACCGGCCAGACTGGCCAGGTGCTGCCTGGGGGCGGCGGTGCTGCCAGCCGAGCCTGCAGTGCCGGCCTGCACTGGGAGATGGCGCCCGTCCCCAACAGTTGGGATTTGCTGGCGCCCCGCCTGCACCTGCCCCGCCACTGACTGCGCCGCGTCGGGAAGAAACGCTGGGGCTCCTTGGCCGGCGGGCCTCACCCCAGCGCTGGGGCCGGCGGTGACTGGAGGCCTCTCTGCGCACAGGGGCCGGGCGCACCGAGAGAAACGCCCAGGAAAGTGTCGTTCTTCTTAGGCAGGTGCCAGGGAGGCCCCCTGTCCCTCAAAGCCCATCCGGGAAGGGAGATTAATTTTCACCCGGGCAGAAAGAGTGCAGTGAGTGACCCGGCGGATGCTTTCCTTCCCAAATGGCTGGGAGAGCTTAATGGAAGGCCTGGAGGAAGCGGCTTTCATCTCCGATTAGGAGCCTTCCGCAAATTCGAAAGCCCCGTTAAAGCGTTTGACCCGGTCGGGCCTGCGCCCGCGGTGAGACCCCCACGCCCAAGTCCTGGCCGCGGAGGGCTGGGAAGAGCGCAGCTCGTGCCAGTTCTCCCTGCCCTGGGGACTGGGCACCGCGACTTGGGCTCCAGCCCTGCGAGGGACCCAGGGAGCCAGTGGGACACCCCAGCCCACGCCCCTCAACCCCAGACCCCAGGTCCCCGCCACACACACCTGCAGCCGCGCATCCAGGTGGGCGCGGGGAATGCCCGTTGGCGCTCTTCTGGCCCAGGCTTCAGGGCACCGCCGCTGCCTGCCCGGTTTGCAGGAGCGCCTTCCCTTTTGCGCCGAAGCCCCCCACCCCGCTGGCGCTGGAGACCCCCGCGGGGCCCGGGGCTACTTTCGGAGCCGCCCAGAGCCCCCCTCTCGGCTGGGCGTCAGCGGGCGGCCCGGGGCAGGCTGGAGCCCCGCGGAAGGTTAGAGGGCAGGCTCCGCGGGCAGCCTTCGCCCCACAGCGGGTGCCGGGGGCGGATCTGAGACGGGTGCGACCGTGAGGGCGGGGGAGCCCGGGATGGAGGGCAGCGGACAGTGCGCCCAGCTGGGTGTTTTATGATCTGGGGACGGTGGTTTGTCTCTCCCCGGGTCACCCCTTCCCAACTCCTTGGCGGACCGGGTTTGCAGACCTCCCTGCCAGCAGCCAGGGGGCGGCGGGGAGCCGGAGCGAGGAAAAATCCACCCATTTCCTGGGCTGATTGCGTCGGCCGCCGCCCGGCCGTGTCCCCGCCTCCCGGCCGCGGCCCCCGCGCGCAGCCCGCGCAGCGCTCAGAGCCGGGGGCCTTCCGGCGCGGCGGCGGCGGCGGACGCGCGGAGCGGAGGACGCGGGCGCGGGCGCAGGCGGAGCGCGGGGCGTTGGGGACACGGCCGGCGGCGCCCACCTCCTTGGCGCCGGGGCGGCGCGCGCGATGGCGGGGCGCGCGGGGCGGCGCGGCGCGGGCGGGCGCGGCGGGCGGAGGGGCGCGGGAACACAGCCGGGCGCCCCTGCCCGCCGCGGTGCCCGCCGCCTGAAGGCTGCCCGGGCGCGGGAGCCGGTGCCAGCTCGGCGCGGGCGCTGGAGGCGACTCAGGCGCGATGTCGGTGCCGCTGCTCAAGATCGGGGTTGTGCTGAGCACCATGGCCATGATCACCAACTGGATGTCCCAGACGCTGCCCTCGCTGGTGGGCCTCAACACCACCAAGCTCTCAGCGGCCAGCGGCGGGACGCTCGACCGCAGCACCGGCGTAAGTGCGCCCGCCGCCCGCCTTCGCGCGGCCCCCTCCCTCCTCCTCTCGCGCCCAGGCCGGGCGGGACCCAGGCGCCCTGGCAGGCGGCGGGAGCCGGGCGCAGGGCAAGGGCAGGGGCGAGAGCCGGCCCTCGGACCATGCTCCCCACGCCCCCAGCCCAGGCCGTTTCCCCGCCACTGCGCCCCTGAGGCGACGCTTCCTTTGCCCTGTCCTGTCGCGCCGCGGGGCTGGGAGAGCCTGCCCAGAGGCTTAGGGGCTTGGAGCCCGCATTCACTGCTCAGCCCCGCCTTGTAAAGGTTAGGAAACTGAGGATGGGGACTTGGGGACTTGTCCAAGGTCACTCCGCAAGTAAGGGGTAGAGCCGCCGCTGGACCCCAGTCTGGGCTAGGTCCAGCCAGGACTCTGAGCCCGCCCTACTTTAAAACCAGGCCGGACTCGCCGGGAGTGGGGCCCCAATTGGGTGGGGTCCGGAGCCATGCCCTCGCCAGCATTCCTGAAGTCCCAAGGCGCCCTCCTTTCCCTCCCCATCCCCGTAGGCGTGTTTGTCTCGGAGGAGGGTGCACGGGGCTGGGGCCGCCCCTGTTTACCCCACCTCCCTTCGCCTTCCTCTGCACCCCTTTCTCCGGGAACTGAAATCCATCGCTCCTTCCCCTTCTCAAGCCGAGGGGGAGGGGAGCGGTGGCCCGGGCGCCCCTGGGCAGAGCTGATTTCGGTGGCTGAAGGGGAGGCAGAGCTGAAGCCACCCTCCCTGAGGGGCGCGCCTGAAGGGGCCACCGCGGGGCTCCCCCGCCCCAGACCACTTCCCTGGAGCTGGAAGGAGAGGTGAAGGACACCATCTCCTCCCCCTCTCCCCTTCTGCTGCCAAAGGCTGGGTCCCCTTAAGGAGGTCCCCGTGCTGTGACCCCCTCCTAAGACCCTTACTAGGGCCACCTCACCTGCTGGTTCAGGAGCTGACAGTACTTCCTCCATAATGACTTTGTTCCCTGCCTCTAGGTCCTGAGCACCTGGGGTTGGAAATGAATGAAATTAAATATATCACTACTATAGATTCTCTCCGCCCAACTTCTCCTCCCTGTCCCCACGCTAAAAATAGCAGGGAGGTGACCCGATGCCACTGGAGAGGAATGTGCTTGGAAACAGCAGGCAGGCTGTGGGGGGCAGCGGGCGGGTGTGGGGGTGTATGTTCAGAGAGCGTTGGGGGCTGGCATCCGCCCTGCGTACCTGGCAGGCAGGACTACCTGAGCCGGGTCGCAAGGTGGGACCAGCCACGCGCAGCTGTGGTTTCTTGGTGGTTTTGGGGCAAACCTCAGGAAGCGAGGTTGAGGGTGACCCCTGCAGAACACGTTACCAGCAATGGGGTGACATCCACCAAATGGCTCGTGGGTGGGAGCCCGCATGGAGTTGGAAGCCCAGTGCTTTCTCGGGGCAGTCCGTGCCAGGCAGCCAGCAGGAAGGTTGCGTGGCTCGTGGTCATTGCAGCTCCCAGCTCACAGGCTGCTGGGTCTGGGGCTGTTACAGCGGGTGCCTCATCTCCAAGTGTCAGGGGACGGACAGCAGAGCAAGGCTCGCTGCGCCAGCCACCCTGGCTTGCCTTAAGGGGAGGAGAGCTTCTTTCTGAATTGGTGCCTGCTGCGAGGCACCAGCCGCCTGCACTCCTGCCTTGCTGCCTTCCAGCTGTGGACCCTGGCTGCCCCTCCCCCTCCCAACATACTGATTTGGTCCGTTGCCAAAACTCCAGACACCCTTTGGGTTGCACTTGAATTTAAAGAAATTTAAAGAGTCATACCTCTTTGACTTCCTTCCAGCCCTGGGCACCCTAAACAGGAGACCTCTGTCTCTGTGTGGTCAGGGACCCCTTTCTCTCCTTTGGGTCACAGCGTGTCTTTGGACCATTTCCTTGTGCCTGCTCCCCGGGGTTGGGCATAGACAATTTCCCCGGCTGTTATCTTGAATGCACCACCTGATGGTCTCCCCTTCTCTCCCTCCCTCTGCCTCCCCTCACCTGCGCCGCTCCAGGTGTTGCCCACCAACCCTGAGGAGAGCTGGCAGGTGTACAGTTCTGCCCAGGACAGCGAAGGCCGGTGTATCTGCACAGTGGTCGCCCCGCAGCAGACCATGTGTTCACGGGATGCCCGCACGAAACAGCTGAGGCAGCTACTGGAGAAGGTGAGTCTGCGTGGGAGTCTGTGCATGCACGTGTGTGTACGTGCATGTGTGTGTGCGCACGTGTGTGCTTTCACGTGTGTGTATGTGCATGAGTGTGTACGTGCACGTGTGTGTGCCCGTGCCAGCACCAAGGCTTGGCTGGCCTGCAGGGGCCATCCCAGCTCTTTCTTGGCATGTCCCCACTTGAAATATTTGTGAATGAATGAATGAGTGGAGGATGGATGGATGTGTGGGTGGATGAGACTCCCAAGGGTGGCCCAGGAGGAGATAGGTAGACCCACCTCCTGGTCACTGCAGGCTCCACAGAGGAGTCACGTGGGCGTAGGAGGCAGGGTGCAGGCTCCTGTCCCCCCCCCCCACCGCCATCCCTCTGGGTGTTGCTCTTAACCTGTAGTCCAGAGGGTCAGAGCTGTTGCTGGGCGGCCAGGTGGGAGGGCTCCTTCAGGCCCAGGAATGCGTGGCCATTTGGATTTTTCGTGGTTGGACCTGGCTGGTGGCTGGACAGGCACTCACCACCGCGGCCGCCTTCCTGGTGTGAGCCTGGGAACAGCAGTGTGCAGCTCCCACGCACAGTTTGAATCCATGATTTCACTTAATCTTTACACCACCCCTGTGAAGTCGATGGGGGTTTTCGCTCCATTTCAAGAAGGGGAAATTTGTATCCTAAGAGGTGGACTGACTCGTCCCAAGCCAAACAGCCAGTCAGCAGGGGAGCTGGCACGCCGGCCCGCATGGTTTGGCCTCCTTTACTCCTCAGGTGGGTCAGGGTGCCTTCTCCTGACCGGTGCAGGCCACCAGCCTTCTGGCACTTTCCGTCCCGAGGCCTGTATTGCGAAGCTAACCTAAGTGCTGGGCGTCCCCTGGGCATTACTAAGGGAAGAAGGAGAAATGAGTAGGCTCTTCTGCTCCACTCATCCCCCCTCCCCAGGGAAAGGGGGCCTTCATAGGTAGCCCCTATGGACAAGGACACCCTTCCCACCCTGAGAGAGTGGAGTGGCACCCCCCGCCCCAGGACAGCCCGTCTCTTCTGCAGTTTGGACTTGGACTTCCCAAAATGAGTGTGCTGGCTTACGAGTGAGATGAGGTCTGCGTGGGGTGGGGGCTTCTGTGACTCGGGGACGGGCCCTATGTTGCGAGGACAGCTGGCGTTGGCGTTCTTCGCTTGGAACCCACTTCAACCACAAAGCCTTACGCAACTCTGGGCAAAGCAGGTCCCCTTCCAACTGTCAAGGGCGAGGTGGGCTAGAGGTTCTGGAGCTGAGCTGGGCTCCAGAGACTCCAAGTCACTGCCTGTCCCTGTGCCCCAGTGCCCGATCGGGCGTGGCACCCTTGTGTGTGGGGGGGGGCAGGAAGGAAGCACCCTGAGGTCTGGTCCCTAGAGCGTCCTCACCTTGAAGGGACAGAGTGTGGCTTTTTCTGCCATCTTTAGCCACCTGAGTAAATCACTTTAAAGGAATTAAAGTAAAATGCACTTAACAGATTCCATAAACATTTATTAACACCAAACTAGACCAAAACCTAATTGAGCCCTGAATTATTCAGAACCTCGGAGGAGGGAGCCGGCGCGGGGAAGGTCCGGACAGAGAAGAATGGGACTGAGCCTGGGGAGGTGGCACTCGGCAGGAGGGGTGGTAGTTGGGAAATGGATTCCAGAAAGCTCTACGAGCCCCTGGGAATGCAGGCCTCAGAACTTTCCTTCCTGCCTGTGCGTGCCACAGCATTGCTGCTTAAAAATTTAAAGCCTCATTTGATACCGTAGCGGGCGCTCTATTTTCGGAGGGCCTGAGCCGCTGGCTGGGAGAGGGCTGCGCCCTAATGCTCGCTGAATGTTAAGGAGGGGGCAGGGCCGCCCCTTCCTCTCTTTCCCTCCTCTTTTCTTCTGTCACGTGTGTGCGTGTGTGGCAGGGGGGAGGTCATCGCCCTTGGGGGCAAGAGCAGGGAGGTGCTCCAGAAGTGGCAATGCACGTGTCCTGCTGGTGGGGTTGGTCACCATGCTGCGCTCCCCCAAGTTTAGGGTTTCTGCAGCCCAGCTTCACCCGAGAGAGCCCACCTGGTGTGGCTGCAGAGGAGCTGAGTCCTAGCACCCAGCCCAGAGGCTCTGTCTGTCGTTGGCCTGGAGTCGTCCCGTGGGGCCTGGGCATCGACTTGCCTCGCAAGCGCCACCACGGTTCTGACTTGTAGCTAGAACCTGCAGGGACAGGGACAGGCGGGGCACGGGCTCCGTTCTCTCTGAAGCTCGAGGGCGTAGGTTTGGAGTCCGCCCAGCCTTCACCTGGCTGACCTGGCCGTGTGACAGGGAGCATGTGGCTTAACTTCTCCCAGCCTCAGTCGCTGTGTGTGTAAAATGGGACTCAAAATAATGTCCACCTCCGCCCGGGGACTTGTCACGATCGGTGAGACAAACAGCGTGGCGGGCTCGGCACGGTGCCAGCACCTTGGAGTGCTGGGTAGGGAGTAGCGAGCAAGTGTCCCCCGGAGGCCAGGTGTGCCTGCTGCCGTGGCTGACGCCACTGTCCCGGCGGCCTTAGCAGGGAGGACTCAGGGTAGACTGTCATTCAGTAGCTCTGTGACCTTGAGCTTGCCATTTGGCTCCTCAGGGGCACATCCTGCAGGTAAGA